GCAGTTAGTACTATCAATAGAGCTACCACAGAGAGTGTTACGGCCTATACTAGGATCATAATCAACTGGTTCCCATTCTCCATTATTAATATGCCAGACACTGCCTGCAGTACCACGAGAGTCTTTATCATCATCCAGCAGATATCGGGTGAAGGTCTGGAGCATCTCAATATCAAGTGTAAACTCACATACTTCTTTAGCAGGATCCATGCACTCACATACTGATGTATTGTGATTGCATGGGACAACCTCAATCTCAGAATATACTCCCCTTACAAAGAAGAGGGAGAAGAATAGAGCTTGTAGTAACAGCATAGCTATATAGTTAGTGATGAAACTCTTCTAATATCTGCTTAGTAGCAAAGTATAGCCCTGCTGACCGCTCTCTATCTCTGAAAAATCCCCAGCTCACAAATAAGGTAGTGCTTTGATAGTGGTAAGTGAAGGGTCAGCCCACATAGACTGTGGTTGATGGATAGAGTGAGAGAGAGAGTGACAACAATATATAGGAACACTGTATGTAAAGGGATGTTTGGCCTTTTAGGAGAGAGATGAGCAAAGCATGGATTGGAGTTTTCATTATATCAGTTATAGTCATGCTGTATCACTGAGAGTGTTATGATCATACTACAAAAATATAAGTTATTTGTATAGTAATTATAGCTTTGTGTCCTCAACAGCTTACATGTACGTGTCACAATCTGTATAAAATGTTGCATGAGATTAGTGCTATCTACACTTTTATGACACATCATTAACAGTTAGATCTACTTTTTCCTGTATGTACTGGTGCGACAATTACCTACTTGGCTTCTGTCTCAATCTACTCTGTCCACAAACACTAGATAAACCTTATAAATACAGACACAGGTGAGCACAGTTCCTAGAATTTCCTTGTTTGGACAATGACTTTTGGAGTGGGTTTACATGAAGCAGGGTTCTTTTATTGAATTTACTATACAATATCTCTATTATTTATAAACTGTCAGGATGTCCTTTTTATTGTCCATTAGTCTTTTTTAATTTGCAATTTGTCTTAGTGCAATAAAGCTCTTGCATCAAAATTAAAATTCAGCTATGAAGCCATATACGATCTATGTAAAATCAATGCAGCAAGAAACATGCAGTTAAAGCTAAATGCATGACAAGAAATATACTAATAAGTTCCTATAACACTAATCAAATTGTAAAAGTTCACTCTACGAAATACTAATCACTGCTCTTGATCAGATCTTCAACTTTCATTGGCTTGTAGTTGCTGTCATCCAGGAATACTTTACCTAGTGACTGGAGCATTGAAGGATACCAAGCAATCCCTTGCTTCTGTTTGCTATGGAGGGAAGTGTGGAAAGTATCATAAAGATAACGTAATGGGCCAAACGTGGCATGAGCAAATTGATGATCA